AGAAAATATTATTATACGAAATAAGATAATGTTATTTTGATGTTGGAAGAGAAAACAGTTTCCTTAGTGAATGACAAAAATCACTTTTTTATAAAAGAACTGTAATTGTCATGAATCTGGTTCAGTCACAGAAAATTTGTCTGTTGTCATTATGTATTCCATTTAATAATTATTTTACACATAATATCCTGTGAGAGCAAAAGGACATTAATTTAGATCTTTACTTATTGTAAAACTTTTAAAAAGTAATAGCTATGAAATTATTTGCACAAGAGCTCACTATTAAACTCAAATACATATATAAAAAAACCGTTGCAAAAGTTCTTAGAAAAAGCGGAGGAAATGCATATTGCACTAAATATGCATATTTTATATGAAAAACTGCTTCTTAAAAAATTTTCATCTTTAATTTTTAATTTCTGTTTTATTTTAAGTCTGCTAATTCATAATTTTGGTTCGTCTTTTTTAAAAATTAATTTACTTTGCCATTTTTGTTCAAAATATCTTATTAAATTATTATTATTGCGTAATATTATGGATTTCGATTTTAACAGTGGTATATATGTTTAAAATGTGAATATTAGTATTTACGTCATAGTTAGTGTTCATTTAACTCAGGCTATTTATAGTTTTAAGAAAATACAGTCTAATTTACTTATATCTAACACTACAGTTCAAAACAATTTCAAAACTTCGATTTCTTCAATGCAATTTGGGACTTACGAGAATTTAAATCATTATCATTATATCTTTATTTCCTTTTAAGGCAAATGTATTTCAGAACATTCTAACGTAAATTTTATTTGAGTTACTTTTACTGTATTATTTTGAAAAACAATTTAATTCTTTTTTTTCAAGTAAATATTTAATATCTAAAGTTATAAAATGTCAACAGCATCTGCACTCACAAGAAAAATGCGGTATGCTGTAGTTCAAATATCTCAGAAAAAGAAATTCATTTATTATTCCATCTTAGTATCTGACTACAAAAAATATTTTTATAAATAATAAATTAACAGCAAAAAGTTCAAACTTCAAGACTTTTAATAATAGAAATGATCCTCAATAGATGATTTTTGTCGATATTCTACACATTAATAGTTTCTTTCTGAAATTGAAACTTCTCAAAACATCGTAAAAGAATATTTAATTTGCTTTCTAAAGCTTTCTCAATCTTTAGAGGAGGAAGAGAAGTCTATTATTGAATATATCCCATAACTTGAAACAAATATTTTCCTTAATTAAATACTTGTCGAGATATCTATAAGCGTAGGTGGGATTGCAGGTATGGTATAATGATCTGGATTCTCTCTAACAAGAAAATAATTGGATTTTACCAAGAGAGCGTACATGTTTCTTTTTCATAAGAATTTAAGTTATTTTTAATCCATGCCACGTTAAATATAAATAAGCGGGGTTTTTAAGAAGATCTGATTAAATAAGCTTACCTTAAGGCAAACTGATATTTGTTCATTTATACCATTTCATTTCTGTCGTGTCAATTATGAAAGATATTGGCGGAGATGACCTACTTCACAAGTCATTCAGAAATAAAGTCTGTAGCTTTTTCTGACCTGACTTCGACTATCGTATTCTTTTGTTTCTTTATTATCAACAAATATAGTCATCGGATATGAGTTTATGTAAAAAAATAGAGGAATGAAGTTATATGCATGGTAATTAGAAGACAGTTTTAATTCCTCAGAGAAGTTGAGATTCCAATGGACTAGTAGTGCAACAAATATCGCATTCCATATGGCCAAATGCTTGAGAGAGACAATTCAACCGGTACAGCAACATATATCAAAACAAACAAGAAACAAAGACAAAAATTCAAAAACACATACAAGAAACAGAGGACAAAAACAAAAAAAGAAGACGAAAATGTACTAAATTGAAAAATATCATGGCGAACCGCACTCATCAGGAAGAGAAGCCTGCCTATAATATTAATATGTGCTTTTTTCTGCTAACGACAAACAGATAAGACGAAACATTTTGTCGCTATCCGCTCAAAAAGCACAAGACAATTAAAAATGGAAATTGAAATATATATATACATATATGTTTGTGTATGTCTGTGTGTTGTATTCAAATTCCAAAGTTATACATGGGTTTTTATTTCGGGTTTTTATTTTTATCAGTACAGATTTCAAATTTAAATAATTACGCTGTCTGTGCAAAAAGGTACCGAACTTTCTAAAATAAATCGGTAATTGCTAATTCTAGCTTTAAGCCAACTTGTATCCTTCAAAATTCTCTCCTCCTCTATTTATATACCGATTCCAACGTGTCTTTCAGTAATGAAGGTGCTTCAAGAAATTCTTTCTCGGAAACACCTATAAACCCGCAGGGAATTTTGTTCTTCTCTTCTGTTGTTCCAAATCGTGAACTTTTCCCGGTAGATTTAAATTCAGAGAACAAAAAAAGTGCAAGGGTTCTAATTTTGAGTGTCACGACTTTTTTTTAAACATTTGAGAGATCCAGTAAATCATGACTTGCTTTATTGCTTTTCACGTTCCGCTGATTAATCTAGAGATAAATTTTACTGATCTAGAGACAAATTTTACTGAAATATCATACGTGTGCAAAATATCGAAAGCATGGGAAATAAACATTTCCTAATTTCTAGATGTTCAGAAATCTCACGGATCACCTGTTGACATGGTAGGGCGCAGAGATTTGTGATCGTCTTTGGTAGGTGATCTGTCCGATTTGAAATTTCAGTAACATTCATAGCACTGGGACTAGCAAAAACTTTCATCTCAGATTTAAAGAGGAGAATTAAATGTTCACAAACCCGTTAGTCTTTAATTTTGTGAATGCAAAAAATTCGTCATGCACCCAATTTAGTGGTTCACTCTACAATTCTTAAAACACTAACAACTTGACGTGGCACTCTCGAAGAAAACACAGTTGCGATTCTAGGATTAAGCTACACAGCGTCATTATAACAGGCTTGGTAGGTTTTTTATTAAGACGCTGTTTTAAAAGTTCGGCTTCTTTTCGGACATACCACTTATAAACAATTTAAGTATGTTTGCAGTTTGATTTATAAAATCTAAAAAATAATAAAGCTTGTACACATAACACACAAACGGATATAATAACAAAATCATTCAATAAAATTCAGCTTTTGAACTCTTAATTTTGTTCCAGATATTTTTTTCTATATTTCTGCAACTGACAAACCAATGCCAAATACTTAAGAATAGTTAATAAATATCAACAAAGGAATAATAAACACATGTATGTATAATTTATACAATACAAATAATAGCTATAATCTTAGCTACATCTTGCTTTATATTTCTTTATACCACCAAATAACCCGAAATTGTTTCATTTTTCCATGTTTTAATTCAAAGATAAAAACTGTTTCTTTCAAAGTCTATACGATTAGATAATTTAGAAACAAGCAGTCTTCAACCACATTTGCTTAGTAAGGATTCCCATAGTCTCTTGCTTCATTTGTAAATCAATAAAATTTCTTCCTTTTTTCATACAATCAACTCGTTAACTAAAGGTAAGAAACATAGGGAACTAACCTACATACACAAATATTTTTCCTAAAAAACATATTCTGTCAGGATCAGCTTTTTATATTTGAATGCCGTATCGGTTTTTTCCCCTCACAATATACTTCAAACAGACCGGCTTATCCACATTTACTTACGAAAAGTAAATTATTATCAGCACAGGTTTCGCGTTTCGTGTCCATTTCTCATTTTCATCTGCTTATAAATATGCAGAAACCATAAGCTTCATTATGTTCTTAATTAGGGAGACGTATTCGGAAGTTAAGATCCCTCGGGAGCACTTAAATAAATTGATGCTATCCCATGAGACATGGAAACAAGACAATTAGGCGGAAAATCGCATGCTTTAAATGAAGTTTGTTGGCGAAAGCTGTACACATTTCCTGATGGATCTTACAATCAATAAGTTCCACGAAACTCCTTTGTGAGGTGTTATTAAACTTTCTACTTTTACAGTGTCCTTTTTTGACGAAAAATCTCGTTAATTGCTTAAGAAACAATTAAGTCAGGGAATAAGCAGATTGATCAGCAGAACTAGGAAATAGTAAAAGAACTGCGAATAGCTTATTCTTTGTTAAATCTTTGAAGAAAAATGTTATGTTATGTCTTTAATTTCATAGTAAATTTAGAAAATTTCGTGCTCCTTCATTTATACTAGAAATGGCAAGAAAAAAAATGGTGCAACAGGGAAAAGGTCTCTTGAAGAAGGTAAACGAAAACAAAATCTATTGAGGCGATGGATGAATTTTATTTGCGGAATTATTTTTAATTTGAAATGATATTCGTAAGTAAGCACATCTTGATCGTAAATTAATGTCTTCTAACGGGTAATCTATTACAATTATGATGGCAATCTTTCATGAATTGTAACCGAAATCAAATATTCGGATTTCTAGAAAGACGTTCTATGAGGGACGTTCCGAAAGTAAGTTTTGTCATGCATTTTCACAAGGAAGCTTTATTACAACGAGAAACATATAATGGCATAATAAAGTACAATCTTTTGTCTATTTCCCCACATATTAGCGATCGACATTTCTACATTTGCCGTACCGTGAAATTCATTTCAAGAAACCATCCTTGTAAAAATCGGTGCTCAGCAAGCTTAGAAAGTTATTCACAGCCTCCCGCACCTCTTCGTCACTCATTTTCTTTTTTCGATCATCGCAAGCGATGGGACATGGATTCCAAACTTAACCCCAAAAACGAAAGCCTAGATGACGTGGAACAATCCCAGCACACCCGTAATGAAAAAATACAAATTGTCGCACTCCTGAGGGCAGGTAATGCTGGCAGTGTTCTGTGATGAAAAGGGTGTCATTCTGATAGATTTCTCCACTTCAGGGACCAACAATGCCGCACCCTATTGCGACTTAACGCTTCCCCATGCCCCGTGCATGTTGCCATTATAGCAATCGAACCGGTTGAATGGACATGGGAATTTTTTTTAAAGACGCCAATAGCACGCGAGGTTCCCAGGTGGTTATTCTCCCAAGTACTGACCCACCCGATACTGCTTAACAGCGGTGATCAGACGATAACCGGTGCTTTAAGCATGGTTTGGACGTTGGCTCCCTATTGCGACACATACACCAAATTGAAGGCCGCCATTCGACGCACGAGACTACGGCTCTTGAGTGCAGGAGTATTGTTCTTGGACGATAATGCAAGACCAAACACAGCAAGGGACACAGAAGAACACCCTCGTCACTTGGGATGGTAGAGATAGGATGACCCGGCCTACAGCACCGATCTTGCCCCATGAGACTTTTACCTTCCTCCTGCGTTGACGTCAGCACTATCGGGACGTCACTTCCAAAGTAATGAAAAGGTGCACTAGTCTGTGGAGAACTTCCTTCGCTCGCTGGGTACAGATTTTTACCGCGATGGTTTCTTGAAATTCAGTTTTCGGTACGACAAATGTAGCAGTGCCGATGGTGAATATGTGGAGAAACAGCCAAACGTTTGTACTCTGTTATGCCATTGTATGTGTCTATTTGTAATAAAGCTTCCTTGTGAAAAAGCGTGACGAAGCTTACTTTCGGAATGTCCCTCGTAGAAACAATATCTGAATTCCATCTAATTTCCAGCGATTCCTGTTAGAAACGACCGAATATGGTTCAAGTTCTCTGAAGTAGCTTGCTGAAGGTCTATTATTTTGTATTGTAGCATAAATACCTGGTGTTTCAAAATAAATACCGTGTTCTCACAAAGCAAGGGATTATTTCCTTAACTTTGGCTATCATTGCCAAATGATACTTGAAATGAAAGAGCAACTCGAACAGTTTTTCCTAAAAACTTTTAATTTGAGCACTCGACATAGATAAAGGCAAAAGGCAGTTTCTTACATCATACATCGATACCGAGAGTAGTTGATGCAGTTGCTGCTTCATTCTTTCGGATCCAACATTCCTAAAACCAGTAAGTTAGCTGATAGCGGAAACGCATATGATAGACCATTTACAAAGCCCCTAAGAACAAAATTGCGAATATTTCACGGCTACGCGAAAAGACTCTCACACATAGACAATTTTCTTGCGATATTTGGGCATCCCGATCTTCGTGATTTGCAAAGATATTCAATGCTATCAGATTATTGATACGATCGATGGATCTTATTGCATTATCTAAGTAGATCACAAACAAACTAAATAGAGAATTAAATATTCACATGTTTCACATTTTAAAATGCAGAAAACTTTCTGATCAGAAGTCACCACTTTTGCTACAAACTATTTCACGGGACAGGTAAATGATTACAATATTAAGCATGATTTCAGATTTTTTTTATTTTCAGGCTTTGGTAGATTACCTGTGTAGTCTTTTGCTTTAAAAATCGAAGGGCAGCATTTTAAACGAAAAAATTCATGCTCACATGATAGAGGTAAGGTGACCTGCACAAATTAAATTATTTTATCTACTGATCATCTCGCAATTATTGTTCATATTTTTAAGGAAAATTCTTTTGCTGTTAAAAATAATAATTTGTTTCTGATTTATCTTTTCTTTCACAAATTAATTCATATTGACATAATTCAATTTTGTGTTTTTTCTTCATAATTCTTTATCTTTCTGCAAGAGTTTTTTGTATTTACTTAATAATAATTCATGTTCTAAACTTTATTTAAGTAAATCTTATGTAAATAGCATGTATATGCTTTTGAATTTAAGGAATAATTAGCCCTCTGAGTGGTTAGTTATTTTTATCTACTAGCTTTAAAGTATTAAAGATGTGGTTTTAAAGTGAATAATTGGATCTTTATTGAGTTTAATCAATGTTTTATCCATGATAGTGTAAGGAATTATACATATAAACATGAATTGTCTGCTTTTGAACTCAATATGAGAGACGGAAAAATACGTGCAAAATGCTTAGAGGGTTAATTTCATTAATTTCTTAGATTTATTCCCCCATTTTGTAACTTAAAAGCTACATATCTTAATAAACAAGGTACGAGTTTGATGCAATCTTACGAAATCCTATTCCAAATTTCTTAGCCTATTTGCATGTTTAGATTAGATGCGAAATAACATATTTAGTATGAATATGACGTCAGAGAAACTGACTACAAAGAGGTTGCTTGCAGCAATGTTGCAAAATTTCGCCTTGAGCTGAAATGTTTGAGAAGATTTAATTGGTGCTCTAAATATAAAATATTAAAACGGTAATTCGCATTGAAAACCAAACAAATAAATCATTTTCACTTCATTCAGTAAGTTTTCAAAAAACTTTCTTTTTTTGAAAAATTATGTCTGTGCTATTGTTACATTTCTGAAAAGAAAAAGGTTAAACTTCTTTTCCATCTACATGTATTCCTACAACTCGAACAATACTTAAAAATTAAAAGCATTAATTTATTTTTTTTAATTTTGACATGTTTTTAGAGAATATACCTAGCAGAAACAAAATTACGAAAAAACGGAGTAAATTAAAAGAAAGCAATATTTTCGACTATTAGCTTGATAGTTATCAAAATAAATGTTTGATTTCAGAAAAAAATATAGCTAGCAGTTTTGAAATAAAACGAAAGCATCGTTGAAAAAATGCTTTCATTTAATTAAGACACCTCAGAGATGTCAAAAATGTCCAATTTCAAGTTTAGCTTATTTATGAATTTTGTTTTTTAATGCGTATTCGTGATAGATTTTTACAAAAACTAAAACAGACAGTTTTATAAAAAGGCAGTTAGCCTTCTAATTAAGGTGTGCATTTCTTACTAGTTAAATAGCACTTTTTGAAATGGTAGTTAATTAAGAATTTGCATAGAACAATGGAACATTTTATCATTTAATTTAGGAAATATAAAAAAAAATTACTTCGTATTTATTTACTGATTTTTTTCATTTTTTAAATTCCAACACAAGTCGGTATTTTTCTCAGTATAGTCATCAATGGCCAATTACAATAAAACCCGATGTGAATATAAAAATATGCGTGTTCGTATTAATTTAAAATATTTGCCTTCGGAGATTTTAAAAGAAAATTTTTAATTAATTATGTATTAATATATATATTTATAAATAATAGCGTATATTGAATGCTTTTTAACTATAAAGGAAGACAATGAAAGTTTTGGACATGGGTGTTATATTACAAAATATCGAATGGAAGTACTAGGAGTAAATTGTTTCTTACTTCATATTATTTAATAAGTGAAATCTCTCGTTTTTATCTCTTCATTAACTTTGAAACAAAGAACATGTTAGAGCTTACGTCTCAAATTCTCTTTCAACATCATAAAGTTAAATAAAACTGTTTGATAATATTTTGACTATAAACCCATCGTTGTACAACACAGTATTATTCCTAAGTAAAGTTATTCTAAAATCGAATAATAATAATGATGATAATAATAATATGTGATCGATAAGCATTCAATTTTGTTCATTCCACCACGCTTTGTGACAACTATTTCAGTACTTTTTTGTTAATTCCAATCTTTGTGTATCCAATACTCAATATTGTTTAAATTTAGTACAGTTTAGAATATAGAGGCTACATAAAATTTGATCTCCGAACTTAAGTTCTTATAATTAAGTAATTTTAAATGCGAGACTGCATTTTCATTTCTATACATAGCAGCTACAAAAGGTAAAAACCCTATTTTAATCCTCAAATAAATTTATTTCTGCCATATTGTAAAAATCTGTGAACCTTATCAAATCTGTATTTAAAGCTTATGTATTGTGTTATTTATATAAATGTATCTTTTCTATATTAGAAAACGATAAAAAAAAGTTAAGTCCTCCTTGGGAACTTGAAAACCTCGAACGAAAGACATTTTCTTTAAGAGAATTTTACATATCATTCCAACGGTTTCCTCATACAAAACATACTTTCATCGGATACTTTTGTTACAAAATTAAACTTACCGAATACTTCTCATGCATTTGTTTTTAATAAAGGTGCATTTTAATGCATGTTAATATAATTTTTAGTATATATGTATATGTAGCATAAAAGAATACAAATACAAAAATTTTGCAAAAACTTAAAATACCTGGGTAACCTCTTCTCTTGAAGAGCAGCTTACCACAATATTCTTTCTATTATTTTTTCGAATTTTCTCTGTTCGTCTTGATTCTGTCATTGTGTATATATATATATGAAATGTATTCATTGTTGTAGTCGTTAAATAAAGCCGAGTTATTAACTAATTTTCTTTTATTATGGGAGAGTGACGGAATGTACGTACATCTTAGTATAAGGTTTTCAAGCCAAAAGAGAACAGAAGATTCCTGCATTTTCACAGGTAGGGATTTAACAGATAGACACGTGATCAAAGTGAAGGGAATAATAGCTATTTTTAGTATATTACATAAGTGTTTTAGGGAAAATGCATGGCGGCAATAAGTCGCCGATTTCGCCATTTGCGTGAGCGTGGAAACGATTAAAATATTCTTTTAGTAATAAATATGCCAAAACGAGAGATTTAATATATCTCCAGCGCGGGAAATGAAACTAAACTGGAGTTTGAGGAAAGTGATTTCGGAATGCATTAAGACATTAAAATATATAATATTGGAATTTGAAATAAAATTAAGTGAGATTGTCGCATATATATATGAAAGAAGCAAAACTCTTCTCTCTGTTTTTGGTTCGGCATTAAGGATGAAAATCAGTGTTTTAAGCCTTACTGCAGAACTGATTGCAAGAAAATGTCAAACTTTTTATATTTTAGTAATTCACAATAACTTCATTCCCTAAAGTTATTGTGCTTTAATTGCGTTTCTCATTTTTCATTTTACGTTTTATTCTCTTTTATTTTACGTTTTACACTCTCTATATATAGTAATATTAACCAAAATACAACCTGTAATATATGGACATTCACAACAAAATGAAAAAAAAACATATCAAAAATTCAGTTCAAATACTAAAAATCAATTAATTAAACAAAATTTAAATTAAGATCTTATAAATAAAAGTGCAAAACACTGCAATGTGCGCATATAAAAATAAAACAATTCTATGCACTATGCAGCTATTATATGCACTATACTCTTACATCTATTGAAAAAGGCAGACCAAAACTGTTAAGAACAATTAAACTCTTTTTTTTAAATA